GAGCTCTGGCGTGGGCTGGTCCATGAGGTCACGAAGAGTCGGAGACGACTGAACGAATGAACAACACAAAAATAATCCAACATATAAGAGCAAATTGTAACATGACAACTAAAATTAAATAACATGTCCTATCACATAAATGATATCAAACATAAAACATAACACATGAAACATGAAATATAAATGTCACCATCAGCATTTTCTCAGCCTCAGAAAATCCATAAGTTTGCCTTAGGATCACCATAAGTCTGCAAGGACATGAAGGAACACAACACCACCAATAGGCTAAAAATCTAGCAATGTCCACAGGCATTTCTGCCACTACAAGTGGACATTTGAGGTGACCATCTTCTCTGAAGTGGAGGGAGGCCTGCCATATTTCTTGGTCCCTAGAATACTCTCTCAATGACAACAGGAATGAACTTTCCCTGTTGCTATTTAGATGATCATATGTAAAACTGATGAATTTATCAAAATGCATTTATCTGGGACGTAATCCATGTTTTTCTCTCTGATTATTCCCATGCAGATTACTTGAATAATCTTTGCCCTGATTCTGCTGAATATGAAGATACACAAGGTAATTTAATATGAAAACACTAAGAATGCCAGATGGAAATCAGTAGCTTAACTCTTTCAGGAAACTGTTTATGGACAATCAAAACACTACTCTACTTAGATCTCAGCTTACTTTGAGGATAAATTACCTCTCTGACAGGTTTTGGGCTGAAACTACTGATCAAAAATGTACTATTCTCCAAATTTTAAGTTCCTCAAAAAATTAAACAGTGGGTACCCAGAAGGAATGACGTGTGCTGTGCCAAAATCTGATGGTTACTCAATACATGTCTTTGATCGGAAGCAGTGATATCACTTAACTTGGTAAGAAGTGAATGAATGTTTTGGTTATATCTAAATAACCAAGAGCAGCTTGCTTGTTAAGAGGACTCCAGTTTAGATTAAATAGTGGACCTATTATAAAGGTTTTTTTTTTAATGTGGACTGAGATTTCACATGAAGAGTCCTTAACATGACTGCTGCCTTGAATGAAGAACAAGAAGGTACTCCCTTCTACGTCATTTGCAGTAATCAACAGAACCGGTACTTGAGTCTTTTTTTTTTTTTTTGCCATGACAATTTGGCAATGTCTCTCATTGTGGCTGAAGGTGGTAGTAAAATTGTTCTTCATATTACTTGGGCAGCTGCTAATAACCATTAATGCTTTATACCACAGTAAATTTGCTTGTGTTGGGATAAGCGAAGTATCACAGGTGCCTGCATGAGTCCCACCATAGGGTCCCCATTGTACTTTCCAACCCCCCTTTTTCACTTATAAAGACCCATTGTTTCCTCTAGGAAGACGCTGGAAAGGTCAGGGGTTGGAAATGCTGCACAATGAGTCCTCTTAAGGGCCTAGTGGTGCACAAGGACAGTCTAGGAGCCTCAGGCATTGCATGTCCTGCCTTAAAAACTCTGCCTGTCTCTGCTTCAAAGACTCACAAATTTAGTACACCATAAAGTTTCATGGATTGGTGTCATTTGTTCATATGCATTAAGTGTAATCCATACTTGGCAGGTATTTCATGAACTTTATGGATTTCCACTTTATCCAGCAATTTATTGTAGTAACTTTTAGAGGGGGTGATAATTTCCCAGGTGGAGTAGATGCCAGTGCTGCTGGTGGGATTTAAAGATTCAGAACTGTAGGAGTTTATATACACACATTATATTGCCATGCTTGTTTCACAGAAAATGTTCCAAGGTGAGGCGTGGTGTTGAGAAAGGTAGAAAATGTCATTAAAAATTAAAACAGAAACTTTTCTGTCATGATCCCCTTGGAATGTGAAGGGGAAGGAGACTTGTGTTTGTACCATCCCACATTGAACCTGATTATAACAACATGATTATAAATAATGTAACATAAACAAATAATTACCTCATCCTTTCTTACTGTAGTTCTGTGAGATTAGGATTATATACTGTTTTCATTTTGGAGAAGTACAAAAGGTACCTTAAACTTTGGATGAGCAGAATTGATGTCTATTAATTAGCAGTTGAACCTTTTTGTTAATTTTTAAGAAGCTCACCTTTGTGTGCTCAGGAGGGAAAATATTTTTTTCAGGAAAATATTTTACTCTTGTTTGTTTGTTTGTTTGTTTGCTTGCAAAATTTATATCCCACTTTTTCCAAGCTCAGACCTAAGGCAGTTACAACAGAATAAAAACATACAATACTAAAGTTAAAACAACCCATTAAAACATATATATTTGAAACAGCAAACACAATTAAAACTGTGTGAACATTAAAACCAAGATAAAAACCCAGAGCTTCCACTACCACTTTTTTGGCTTAATTGGAACTGAGGTTTCCAAACACATTTCAAGGGCAGACCTGCATAGAGCATATTACAGTAGTCCAAACAGGATGTAACCAGTGCATGTACCACAGTGGCCAGGTCTGATTTCTCCAGTAATGGTCGCAGTTGGGTGCACAAACTTTAACTGTGCAAAGGCAGTCCCGGTCACTGCCACCACCGGGGCTTCCAGATTTAAGGACGAGTCCAGGATCACCCCCAGACTTCAGATCTGAGCTTTCAGAAGGAGTGTAACTTCATACAGCTCAAGTTGTCACCCTATTCCTGAATCCCTCTTACTTGAGACCAGTAGTACTTCCATCTTATCCAGAATGAGTTTCAACTTGTTTACCTTCATCCAGTCCATTCTCCAGGCAACAGTTTAGGTGCAGGGTGGCTTCCTCGGCATCAGATGAAAAGAAGTAGTAGAGTTGAGCATCATCCATGTACAGATTATACCGAACTCCAAAACTCTGGATGATCTCTCCCAGTGGTTTCATGTAGATGGTGAACAACATTGGGGATAAAGATAAGCCCCCTTTGACCCCACAGTCCAGCGGCCATGGGGTCAAGCAGGTCTCCCCAGAACCACCTTCTGGGTATGGGCCACAAGAAAGGACCAGAACCAGTGTAGAATAGTGCCTCCCAGTCTCATCCCCTCAAGTCACGCCAGAAGGATACTATAGTTGATGGTATCAAATCCCGCCGAGAGGGCCAGAACAAACAAAGTCACACTCCCCCATCCAGCTGTCTGCATAGGTCATCCACCAAGGCGATAAAAGCCATCTCTATCCCATATTCCGGCCTGGAGCCCAATTGAAATGGAGCTAAATCATCCAGGAATCCTTGGAGTTGTCTGGCCACTACCTGCTCCAAAATTTTACTAATGAATGGCAAATTTGACAAAGGCCTGTAGTTGTCAAACATGGTAGGATTAAGGGGTTGTTTTTTCAGCAGTGGTCTCACCACAGCTTCTTTAAGTGCTGTGGGGACTTGCCTTGGTGGAGCGAGACATTAATTAACTCCCTTATCCAAAGCATGCTACCACTTGGCTTGTCTTATTAGCCAAGAGGGACAGGAGCCAAGAATGCAGGAGGTGGCCCTAACTTCTCCAAAGATTCTGTTGGCATCCTTGGGTAAGACAAGGTTAAAAGAATCCATAAGAACAGGACCAGGCGGTGCCATGGCTACATCCACTGGAGCTGTAACCAAGGAGGTGTCCAAATCAGCACTAGTCTGACTGATCTTGGAGGCAAAATGAAAGGCAAAGTCATCACAGTATGCAGTGGAGTGAAACATGTGATCTACTTTTGGATTCAGTATATCCCGCACCTCTCTAAACAACTCAGCCACGTGAATCTTTCTGTTTTGTTGCTCCCTTCCACAGCAGCCTTACTCATTGTTACTGAAGTTGCAGACCAAGCCAATGATAGCATGCACCAAGGGGTAAGTACTATCTTATCTTACTTTATATTTTATTTATTATTTATATTTTGCCTTTCTCCTAGCATCAGGCCTGAGGTGGTTTACCAGAAGTGCAGCCAAAATCTTACTATATAAAAGTGGGGGAGGGCGGAGATTAGAGAAATAATTCTATCAAATGACAATGTTAAAACTGTTTGAATACATATTTAAAATGCAATTTTAAAAGAAGAGATAAAATCACAATGTATACATGTGAATACATCTTCAAGTTGCCCGTCAACTTATGGTGACCCTATGAATTTGGTTAAGGGAAACTTGGTGATAACCATTTGGCCCTTTGCCCTGTATTATGTCTTGTATTTAAATCCTCTCTCCCCAAAGCATTTATGAGGTATTTGTTTTTTCCACCTCTATACTAATAGTATCTTTGTTTCAGTTTTATGATAATAGTATAGGGAAAATAGTTAAAGAGTACAAACTATGTGCACTTGGAACAAACTGGGGTTTGTGCAATAGCTGTTTTTTTTAAAGAAAAACTTTTAAGAAGATGTGAACATAACACACATTAAATTAAAAGTCTTGGTATAGGGTAAAGTCTCGCCCTTTATTTGTCATTCCTCTATCTATTGTACAAAAAGAAGCAACAGTGTCTGATGAGAATCCTGCTCCAGATTTTAGTCTGAACTTTAAAGGAGCTATTCAAGTTCTATATCTATTTGGGGGATAGCATTCAACACCTTTGATAGTTGCTTTAAAATTCAGACTAAACCCTAAAGCAAAATTATGACTCTACTGAGCACAAATCTGCTGTATTGCTAAGTAGCTAGTAAACAGAAGCTAATGTCAGGAGCAGAAGGAATGATCCCCGACACACATACATTTTACCTTTTGTTGTATCTGAGAGTTGAATTGATGTTTAGGTTCCTATTTGGTAACATTCATTTCCCTACAACTTAAGATACTGATGAAATTCTTGCAAGAGCTTATAGATGAGTATAATCAAAGAGCATTCTGAACTCCACCAATGATGGAATTGAACGAAGCCTTACACACAGAACTTCCATGACCAACAGAAAATACTGGAAGAGTTTGGTTGGCATTGACCTTGAGTTCTGGAGTAGTAGTTCGCTTACATCCAGAGAGCACTGTGGACTCAAACAATGATGGATCTAAACCAAACTTGGCACACAGACCCAAGGTGGCCAACTGTGAATACAGGTGGGGAGTGGGGGTGTTTGACTTTGGCAAATAGAAGTTATAGTTCACTCGCATCCAAAGAGCATTGAACCCAGCTGATGACGGATCAGGACCAAACTTGGCACACAGACCCAACATAGCCAACTGTGAATACTGGTGGAATTTGAGGAAGATGGACCCATGATTTTGAGAGTTATAGTTCACCCGCATTTTCTAATGGGAACGTTATTTAAAAACAGAAGGAAAGGCTGTATTTTTTCTAATAAATAGCATTACAAATTACCTAAGCTGCTTTTCCTGCTCCTCCTCCTCCTGATGTTGCTGGGCCACTCTCAGTCCCACATCACGTGGGTGCTTGTCCCCCTGCCTTGAAGGAAATGGCTGGCCTGAGCCTCCTTCCAGCCTTGTGCATTTTCTCTCACTCACATACCACGCTGCCATGTGCCAAACATGCCTGCTATCCTCTCCCCACTTGAAGTATCAGAAGCAGCCCTCCCCTTGGCTGAGAGGCTGGCAAATCACAGTGGAGGAGGGCCTTTGTTGGGAGTGTTCACAGACTGTTTCCAAAAAATGAAGAGAAGGAGCGGCAGGGAGATCTTCAGCCTTTTCTGCCAAAGGGGTTCTTAAAACCATCCTAAGACCATTAGAAATATGTGTTTTCTGATGGTCTTTGATGACCCCCCTGGAATGCCCTCGTGACTCCCCAGGGGTCCCAACCCACAGGTTAAGAAACGCTGACCTAGAGATTCCTAGAAGTGTGGTTTTTCATTTGTAGTTTTTCCACTTTCACAGGGGTTCTGCAGTCCTGACCCCAGTGGATTTATAGGACCAACTGTAGTTCTCAAACTCTGATTTTCCATGTGTCTTGGACATAAACTCTCAGGAATCCCAGCCAACAAGTTCAAGTCCAAAGAACAAGAAGGACCAATGTTTGAGAACCACTGCTGTAGGCAATGGTCCTTATACAGTACTTCCATGTTTTTCAAATGATCTTCCAGATGTTCATGAAAGACAAACACAAACCTTTCAACTCAGGCTTTCTGACAGGAAAACGGTGTGTGTCAGAAGTCCCTGGGGGGCTACATGGTAGAAGCTGTCTTACTAATTTACCTGTTCCTATGTATAGCTGGGGATTTTCTGTCAAGGATTTTGTTCTTTTGAAAATGAAAGTCTCTGGGAAGCATAGCATGCCAAGAGTCAGCAAAGCAGATTCACCCAACTGTGTCTTCCTGGTGGTTAGATATGGCTCACCTTTTCTCAGTTATAATTTAGGATTTTCAGGACTGTGAAGAGGAAACAAACCTTTTAAAAGGGAAAGCCATGCACTTTGTCCAGATGGAAACTCAAAACAGCTGCTTAAAACAGAGCCAAGAATGTCCTACGCTTCCACACAGCTGGGAACCTCTGGTTGTGGAATTTTAAATGCATGCTTCTGAAACATGTGCCAAAACAAAGGGCAGCCAGGGTTTTCTTGATCACTTCCACTGTCCATGTTTCAGTAATGTATTCCCTGTGAACAAAAGAGAAAAACTGTAGAGTCTGTAGGCGCTTGCCCACTGCTAAAGGGATGGCTGGATTCCCATCCCATTAAATTGGGAGAAAAGTGCTTCTGCAGGGCTGAGTACATTTCCACCTGTGGGCTTTTTTTTTTTTTTTTGCTTTGCTTTTTTCTGATTTTGTTGTGATGCCATTAACACAGGGGGAGGAAACTATGGTCCTTTAGTTCACTTCTTAAGCTGTGGCTCCCAACCTCAAATGGGGTCTCTTAACCTCATTTTGGGGGGTCTCAAGAAATTAGGCAACAGCAAAAGGTTTCTGGATGTCTTGCATTTGCACAGCAATGTGCCGTGTTTACAGAAAGTGCTTCAGCTACACTCCACAAAAAGGAGAATTAGCCTATTTAGCAAGCCTTGCAAATGCTGGTTTGTTATCAGTAAATGTTTGATTTTTATATCTATTTTGTATACCTATATACCTGGGGTCACATAAACATTTCTCAACTGGAGAGGAGTCTAGATGGGGAAAAAGTTTTTAAAGCCCTGCTCTAGATGATGTTGGCATATAGCCCTTACCAGACCTAGCCAGCATTGCCAAAGGTGGAGGAATTTGGGCAATGCAGTCTAAAATACGGTTTGACATAACTGCCCAATTCTGATTTAGCATAAGGATGACACATAGAAATGTCAAGAAAAACAGACAGCTAAGAGCCTCACTGTTTAACTTCTACGTAGTAAACAATAGTGAAAGGTGTTAATGGGGCAGGTGGAAAAATTCTTCTAAGGAGCCTCAGTCAACTAAGAGATGAGGTTCACACTTAATTTTGCAAGCAACAATGAATAAATATTTGGAAAATGTTATTATTTAAACCAGGCTTCCCCAATCTCGTGCCCTCCAGATATGTTAATGAACAGGTTCCACCATCCTCAAAAATATGTGTCTGTTAAACATAACTAGTTCTCCGATTCTTTGTCACCCATATTATTGGAATCAAAGAATCATGACTGCACATAAGAAGGAGGAATACTACAGAATCTTCTAAAAGTGGAAACTGCTCTCTACTTGCCAGGAAAAAAAAGATGTTCCAATTGGAGTTCATTCTTGATGAGTGGTCCCTAGTGTTTCTGAAGAATAATACCAAAATCATGATTCAAACCAACACATTGTTTGAGATGTGAAAGCCCAGAAAAAAATCCCTTTCCTCCCATGTTCTTTTAAAAAATGCTCAAGGACATTTTAGTTTCACCAACAAAATGTCTGCCAAGGAATACTGGATTCTGTAAGCTATATTTAAGAGGGAAGAGCTGGCAAAACCATCTCTGAGTTACCTAAGAAAAGTCTGTGAAATTGGTGGGGTCCTTGTGGTCTCATTCAAATCAACCACTCCATAATTCTATGAAAGAATTACTATTTTAATACAGCAAAAATGTTCATGTCATTTAATTAAACTAGCATTTTTTTCCAATTAAGTACCAGACAAAAGAAGAGATGCATTTTAAGGAAACCTTTTTAAAAACATTGCCCATTTGAGGGATATTGTATATAGGATTTCAATCAATCTTTATTACCATCCAAAGACCCAATTTGCTCAGCAAGGGAAGTGCACAGCAGATTCATAAACTGATTAGACCACTTAAAAATAAGACGGGTGTAATGCTAAATGCATATTAACAAAGGTAAAACACTGCAAATATATACAGGGTAAGTTTCAAGCTGGGTCTACTACAGGAAGTTGTCTTATCCTAGCTACCTCAGAGAGAAACTTGGCTACAACCAAGGTCACATGGGGGAAATTGTCACCTAGTAAAAAATTTATATGAAATTGGGCTGATCTACCAGATAGGTTATTCAGTAGTGGGTTAATAATATGTAGCCAAGCCTGTTCGTAAAAACTGCAGGACAATGAGATGTGATACATACATTCAACATCCTGGTTATTATATGGGCAATGTCTTGCATTGTATGGGACTCCCGCAAATCTACATCAAAGCACTTCGGATGTGAACACATTGTACCTTGCCTTGGAGAATAAGCAAGTGATATTTGGCCACAGTCAAGTTCTTAAGATAATTTGTTTCATGGAGAAGCCCAGCATAGTGTGTATTCAGGGCACTTGGGAACAAGAAACATATGAGCGGGAACACAGTTCACAGACAGCAATGCTCCACAGTCTTTGTTTAATATATTTCAGTGCCATGTCATAACCCAGATGCTATAAGAGGGATGAAAAAAGGTTTTTTTAAGAGTTAAGCTGTAGCTAAGATAGACAGGGCTAGATAGTGAATCAGACCTGAGCCCAGTCTGAAAACACTGACCTTAATCCAATATTTAAGGGCCCACCACCAAGCTCTTGTTGGCAGGGGCTTTCCCCAGATTCTAACAGCAAGACACAGGATGGCACACATCTGGGGAACTCGAAGAGGGCCCCCAAGAACCGTGATTGCTGCTGGTCCATTGTAGGTGTGAACCCACCAATCCATATGCTGGATTCATACAGCAACTGGGTAGCTGTCTTAGCATTAAAAACTTTAATAGCCGATGGTATAGTGACCCACTTCGGTAATGCTAAAACATAAAATGACTGATCTGCTTATTTGAGCTTTCCGGGAAATAGAAGGTATGTGTGTGGACCAGGACAGAGTGTGGTGGAAAAGCAGCCCCAGATATTGAAAGCTTCTACATAGGACATTCATTTTGCTGGACAAGTCTCCAGTTTAAAATATACTTTCACTTGAGATTAATCTGTCATATCAATAAATGAGTTAATTCCATCCTAATAATTGATTGTGGGCAAAATTTAACTCCATCCATTTCCTTTCCAGCTCTCCTTCATAACTTGATCTTGTTCATATTCATTTGAAAATAAGTCTCTAGAGTAATACTTACTCCAGAGTAAGTCTGGGTATAGTTTGCAGCCTCAGCAGATTATCTGACCAATTAATGTTTTTCAGTGGTTATCAAAGCCAAAAACAGAGACACGAGGCCTAAGATGGCTTAGGAGATTGAAGTGAAGCTGTGAATGTAATGAGAGTAATTCATTAAAAACTCACCCCTTTCATATAAAAGTGCCATCCAACATTGTCACTTTAATGGGAACAAAGGTCTCATTAGATTCATTTTAGATACCACACTGTGGGAGATTATACAGCCTGCCTGTGCTCATTGATTGTGCCCAAGCTTTTCAATGCAGGTAAGCAATTAATAGGGTCAGACTCTGACAATGAACTCTCCGATCTCTGCCAAAGAAGCACAATTTCATTATCTACTTAATACTTAACCTTGCTTGCAAAGATCACCAGTTACGTGGCCATTGCAATGGGATGTGAAAGTCACATATAAGTCTATCAAAGGAAATGTAGCATTAAAAGGAGATTTCTGTTCCCTTGTCACCCAAGCATTTGCAATTGCAGTGGCAAGAAAAAGAAATCAGACAAAGCACATTATTTTAATGTTTTATGTAGATTAATATAAATGTATAATTTGAAGGCTTTAGAAAATTTACTACAGATAATTTTTAAGACTATGTATATTATTATTATTATTATTATTATTATTATTATTATTATTATTATTTTAACTCCCATGGTTCTGTCTTATGGAACCTTTGGATTTGTAGTTAGGAGAATTATTTGGAATTCTGTGCTAGGCACTACTAGTCCCTGAGCTACAACTCCCAAGGTACCAAGATTTAAACAGATTTGATCTTTAGTTCTTTTCAAGTTTATTTTGGTACCTTCTAAAACCAAACTAAAAATTCCAGGATTCCATAGGATGGAGGCATGGCAATTAAATTAGTGTCAAACTGATACAATTGTACAACATGGATACACTCATAGATTTCAAATCTGGGGAATAAAACCTAAATGCTACATTCAATTTTTTGGTCTTTGTTCTCTTTTAGGAAAACTTGCAAAAGCTGGTACATATAGAGCATAGTGTCAAGGGGCAGAGCAACCTCCTCCAACCAGGAAGGGTGAGTTCCTCTTGTTTGTTGTATTAGAATATGGTTCTCTTTTTTTCGAACCAGAAAGGCTCTTATGGCTTTCACAGTTGTATAATGGGGAAAATGTAGAAAATCAGACCATTTTAATGATTTTGTATTTCTTCTTCATAAAAAAGGGGGAAGGGGAGGAAGAAGGAAGCCTTGCCACAAATATGTTGGCATGCATAATGTACATGCTTAATATGCCTGAGCAATACATGGAAACATGGCATTCATAACCTTTTGGAATACACAATTTTGGAGATCATAACTTTTTATAAAAGCACGACCTTTCAGAGAAGAGCAAAAAACCCTTTAGAGTAGAATTTTCTCTTATTATATACAACCAGATATAATTATGCAAGGCAGTGGTTTCAGTTGTTAGACTGAATAACCTGTTGTCTATGATCTGTTAGGAATACAAGAGATTTCCCAGTGCATAAAACAGCAGTGCTTCAGAAGGTGTTTTTCAGTGACCAAATATATATATAGTGTAAAGGTAAAGGTTTCCCCTTGACATTAAATGTTGTTGAATCCGACTCGGGGGGCGGGGGGGAGTGCTCATCTCCATTTCTAAGCTGAAGAGACGACGTTGTCTGTAGATGCCTCCAAGGTCATGTGACTGGCATGACTGCATGGAGTGCTGTTACCTTCCTGCCAAAGTGGTACCTATTGATCTACTCATATTTGCATGTTTTGGAATTACTAAGTTGGCAGAAGCTGGGGCTAACAGTGGGAGGTCATCCTGATCCCTAGATTCGAACGACCAACCTACTCTCCCATAAAACAACTTGTTTTATTACATGCACTCAAGAGATAAAAATAAAGTAGACTTTGATTGAAAAAAATGTATTTGGTTTACTCACAACTTTCATGTGTTCAGCTTACACAGGGACAAAACTTATCAGTCCAGTGTCAGATATTTTTGAGATGGTTCCCTGTGCCAGCCAGCCTGGCCATCTCTCTTATAACAAAACAGCTATCAACAGGTCACACAGTCAAAAGGAGAGAGAGGGCATGTGGTCTGCAGTGTCTGTCTGCAGCTTGCTATCTGTGATGATCATGTCATCTGCAGCCCCTCCTACAACTTCTCAGAAACCATAGAGTAAAGGAAGCTGCATATCAGAACATACACATAAACGGAAACAACAGGACCATAGACAAACATTACTAGAGAAGGCTTGAAGAAGATTATCATTTCCAACATTTTTGATGTAGAAATAAGAAAGTTTTTTTCTGCTAAGGACCATGTTTCCTTGAGGTAATCTGTTCTGGGCTGCCTGCTGGCTTTCTAAATTAGACTAGTGGCAGGTTAAAACTCCTTTTCAATCTTTTAATAGAATGTTTTCTCCTGTGTTTTCTCTCTGGTTTTATGATGTTCCTGGGATTGTGTTTTATATTGTGGCATTACTTTTAATTCATCTAGGATTCATTTTTTAATGAAGGATAGTATATAAATATTCTAATAAGTAAAAAAAACCTATGATAACATTTTATTGCTTTCTTTTCATGAAGAGCTTTGGCATTACGTGTTAGAATAAATACATAGAAATCACTTTTATTTATTTTCTTGTGCAGTTACCCTTTTGTTTTATGTGGTTTACCATGTTGGTCAAGTGATTTACCACCATCACCAGTAAAATGCTGTTGCTGGCTTTACTTTAACCAATGCTTTTACTTAGAAGACAATTAAACTAGAATACTTGGGAAGACTGAATGGAGGAAAAGACTGAATTCACACGGCAAGCTATTAAATGAGAACAACAATCTCCAATGACAAGATGTACTGATCTCTCTGTTTCCTTCCTCAGATGTTTCTCAAAGAAGGAACGTTGATGAAAGTGTCTGGGAAAAACAGACATCCTCGACATTTGTTCTTGGTAAGAAGAATAGGAGGAGTTGGGCTGGTCTCTTTCATTAAGAAGCAGAAGCAAACAAGTAGGGATTGGTAGTCAAATATTGCAATCCTAAATGTATTTACTAGGAGGAATATTGAATGCAGCAGGATTTATTTTCTGTATAATTGTACTTGGACTTGCACTGTAAAGTTGCTGTTCTGTACTACTTACTTGGAAGCAATTCCTAAGACACATATTAGGATTTAAGTAAACATGCCTCTACTCGTGAATTTATCACATGAAGGTGTTAAATTACAATTACAATTGAATAATAAGCATCTGTGGCTCGGACTTATTAGATGATGTTGTCTCTCTCCCATTGTTTCATTGCATTTTCGTTGTTATTTGTCTGCATGTTTTCATTAATGGGGAAAACTCACCAATGGCTCCAATTATTGCTGCTGTCCAGCTATGGTGCAATTGTTTCAGTTATAATGCCCTAGCAGTTATGTGGTGTGAGTTGGCATGGATCTTCTCTTCTCCCTCACTATCCCCATGCAGAGTTAGGCATAATCTCACTACTGGCAGTCCCCTGAGTTACAATCATCTGACTTGCACATGACTCATAGTTAAGAACGGAGGTGAGACAACAGGAAGTGAGAGAAATCTACCCCTAGGAAGGGAAATTCACTTCTGAAAGAGTTATCATGGAGAAAAGGTGTCTCCACCAATGCTTTATCACCGATCCTTGTTTCTAGAACATGTCACATTTTTCAAAATCCAATTATCTTAGGGTTGGAAAATGATTCAAAATCTTCTGAACAGCAGCACAGACAGCAAAACAAACACCACAGGGGTATTGACCCTTTCCTATGCTATGCAAAGGTGAAAAATACATATTTTGGCAGGAGTTACAGCTTAAAAATGTACCTGTTCCGACTTACATACAAATGGAACTTAAAAACAAACATACACAACTTATCTTATTCATATATTGGGGACTGCCTGTATTTATTAATGTCAATCCATATCTGGTGTCTGGACAAAGAGGCTGTCAAGGTGCATGGCAACAATATTGCCTTTACTTTGTTCCCTGGGTTTTATTTTATTTCAATTTGTTTTGTCCTAAGTACAAAATTGCACTGCCATGGCAGGTCACAATTACACAAATATGGTGGTGGCCCTCTATTTGCTAAATATGTAATTGCAGCATCAGAAAAAGAAAAATTAAACAGTATGAGCACTATGTAGGGCAGACATGGAAGACACGGTCTGGCGAAGCAATGTGGACTGCAGGAATGTGCGTCAGCAAAGTGGCCCCATAATACAATTGGAACTGATAGTTTCCATACCAGTATATTTCTGTTTGCTTAAAAAACATGACTGCTGCAAGACAACAGGCTTGTGTGATAAAGTCCTTACACTTCATGCCGATTCATTGCCTTATAATTGTGATTCCACAATGAAGGTTCAATAGCAGTCACCATTTTGGTCTTTGGATAAAACCAACAAACAGAGCTATGATATTTTCAGTTTTGTGTAATCTCTTAAAAATATACTTGCTTCTGTGCCGAGTTAGGCATAACCTCACTATTTATTTTAGTTGCTTAGACACACAAGTATACTTGGTTATGTATGACTTCCATTTGTTTGTTTTTTTTGTTTTGTTTTTGTCGTGTCAGGAGAGACTTGAGAATCTGCAAGTCACTTCTGGTGTGAGAGAATTGGCTGTCTGCGAGGACATTGTCCAGGGGACACCCAGATGATTTGATGTTTTATCATCCTTGTGGGAGGCTTCTCTCATGTCCCCGCATGAGGAGCTGGAGCTGGTAGAGGGAGCTCATCCGCCTCTCCCCAGATTTGAACCTGTGACCTGTCGGTCTTCAGTCCTGCCGGCTCAGGGGTTTAACCCACTGCACCACCGGGGGCTAATGGCTGCTTCCATTATATGTGTGTGATTTTAATATAGAGAGGAAGATGAGTCATCTCCTAATTCCTGGAGAGATACTTCTCTGACCTCTGGGCCATATCCAGCCCATATAGATTCCCTATCTACCTTTTTTTGTGAGGGGGATGCATCTTCAGAGGCCTCCTTCCCTCACTCTAAGCCTTGATCCTGGAAGCTACTCTAAATTCCCAGCTACCTGGGAATTTTTTTCCCTTTCCTATGTGGAAAAGGGAAAGGAGAAACAAATCTATACCTTGGCCAAAACTCCATCCAGTATTTAGAGAACCCAGTGATATGATGTCATGGCCAGAGCCACTGACTTGTCATCCAGCCTGTAGGTAGTTCCCTTTAGGCTAGAGCAGTGGTTCTCAACCTGGGGGTCCCCAGATGTTTCAGCCTTCAACTCCCAGAAATCCTAATAGCTGGTAAACTGGCTGGGATTTCTGGGAGTTGTAGGCCAAAACACCTGGGGAGCAGGTTCAGAACCACTGTGCTAGAGACTCCTAGTCTCCTTGCTCCTATGGCTCTTACCCTGAAGAATAAGACATACAAGGCATCTTGAATGCAGTCTTATTTTCAACCTTAGGTTTGTTTTGGCTTTGAGTTTGAAATATTAGGCTGTGATTGAGCTGGACCAAGGTTCAGCCTGCAACCCCCTCTTCTCCATAGTTAATTCCACAACATACAAAACTGTATACAGTATTTTCAGCTGTTTCCAATTACTGCCAGTGTGAGTTTCCTCCATCCATTCAGGGAGAGAGGAAGACAGTGGCATTCACCTTTCCCCTGCTGTGCCTTTCATAGCTCACAATTTCAGGTATCAGGATATTCACCTGCAATGCAGTTCTTGGAAGCTTTCATTCCCTTCCGGCTTCTTTGGTGAGAGAGAAAAGTGTCAACATTTCCCCATATCAATTATGTTTTTTACAGTTTATCCTTGCCATAAAAGCTGTGGAGAGGCAATCACTGTTGTAGCTGAAACAAAACATGCATTGAAATTGGAGTAAATTTACTATTCAAGGGCTGTGGAGCCGCCATTGCTGAGGAAAACATGAGCTCAGGCTGCTGTTGAAAGTTCTGCTATTCAGAATAAAACTGTCTCTTCACTGCAGGGAAGGAGAATAATAATAATAATCCCTTGGCAGCTGGAGTTGTTAGGAACGTGCTGTTTAATAGGCCCATGAATATACTGGCAGTGACTTTTTTTCCTGCTTCCCCATTAGAATTGAATGACATGATGAGGCATGTATATTGTCATAAAAAGAATATGAGTTAAAATGAAAGGTAACAATTTAGAATTAAAAAAATTAAAAGCAGAGCAACCTTTTACAATTATGGACTCCGCAGTCCATATCTATAAAATGAAAGTTACTAGATAGTGAACATTAAGAAAACGAAATGTATGACAAACCTGGGTGGGAAAACAATTGACCTAAAATCATCACTAGCTTTGATAAGAATTTATTTATTTATTTATTTATTTATTATTTAAAACACTTATATTCTGCCCTTTTCACCCCGAAGGGGACTCAGAGTGGAGCACAACATATACATGGCAAACATTCAAGAATATCATGAACTGGGCAGTAACACCTAATTAAACTAATTAGCACCCCAATAATAATAGGCATATGAGCAAAATGATTGGTAGAAAACCCAGAAAAGGGCCACAGCTTTATTCGTTATATTACCAGTGTAACTTGTTGACAAATTAAATCAAATCTCCAATATCGGTAGTGCCATGGACATAACTATAAGTTATGAATCAATAACTGCAATATAGAATGTCCATTTTGGCTCTTTTAAAATTCGAATGAAAATCTGAACTGGATTAACCATCCCAATTGACATGGAAGATAGTAGCTGCCACTAAGCAAGCTCTAGAAGTCTAGGCATTTGGGTGTTCAAGGAAAAGGATATTAGATTGTAAGATATGCCCGCAAATGTCTAGATATAATCAGATATTGCCATGGAAGAGATTAAATCCCTTCCCAGCCCTGCCGACAACTGACGGCCAAATGTCATCGCAAGAACTAAAATTTGAGCTCAAGTTTGGGCAGCATTCTTCATTCCCCAAGTAATGGACCAGAGTGACGTCAATGGCTTCCAATGCTCACAGACCTACCCTAGAAGATAGCCAGATCTTCTGAATTATCCGCTTTTATGGAAGTTCTGTTGCTGTTGTTTGTAGGAGGAGGAAGCCGCCAGTCATAGCCTGGCTGCTTTCTTCACCCCCCTCTGGCTCTGTGCTTGCAAGGCACAAATGAGGCATTCCTGGCACATAGAAATCAAGGGCTTGCATCAGAGGTGCATGCATGCATTACATAGCTGTAGCACGAGTAGCATTTCCGCAGTGCTATTGTTTAGCGTCAGACTGAAGCACCGTGAAAAAGTCAGTATGTTCACTTAGAGGGAAGACTTCTGAGTTAAGCAAGACTCATTTCCTTTTAAAAATGCTTAGAACTGCACAGAAAAGACATTCAAGCATCCTCATGTGGAAGGATGGCGGTTGTTTACAGAAGAAAAGACAGCTATTGTTTTTATGGTTGTTGTTAAGCTAGACAGAATGGTCAGTGAGCAGAGGGATCATGCAGCACCTAAAAGATTAAGTGAGAGAACTAAACTTTTCAGTGCCTTCTGAAGATATATGCTCTGTGTTTTTGTGGTAAGAGAGTTTAGCAAATTCAACAGCTGTTTCTCATGGATCTCCGAAACAAGGATCAGACATCTCTGTAAAAAGATGTTGGGCTCAGGAAACAGGCAGGCACCCAGTAAAAGAGAGCAAACATCCTGCCAGGATACAGCATAACCAACAAGACGAGACAACTGTGTTATTATGAAGTATATTGAACCTCCCCACCCTAACACAGGATTTTCCACACATTATCATTAATGCAGGGTAAAGGTTGCCACATTTGCAGTTGCAGCCCAAAAAATCCGAGTTTAATTTCGTAAAGTCCACAGCAGAGGCTAGAAATGGAAATGGAGATAGTTTGGGATGATACAAATCAGACATTTGTTATTGTCATTATGTCACTGCTACTATAATGTATATGGAATTAGTTTTAATATTTAAATTGGAAAGTGCTATTGT